ACCGAGACGGTCAAAAGTCAGAATGGCCGAACTGTAGGCATTTTCTTTGTATTAGTTATTTTATCTTTCGTTACCGGGTCTGTGCCCGCCTTTTTCTTCCGCGTGAGTATTGTTATGATCACGTGAGATGGGGCCGCGAGTCAGTCGTGCGACAAACAAGGAACAGTCGAGTCGCTCACGGATCCTAAGAAATAAAGCATTAAGAACGCCCTGAATATTGTAGTGTACGAATTGTAAACTGAGTGCCTACACCATATAAATTATACGGTATAATTCTGTATGTGTTTTTTTAAATTTTTGTTTATTTTTAAACAACAAATTAATTTTATTTTGAAACAACGAATATGTAATATAATTTAGTATATCGAAATTGGCATAAAAATTTTAATTATGAAACTTTGCCGTAATTATTTCAAGATAATATAAATGAATAAATATTTTGAAAATTTAGCAAGTTTATGTTCGGCTGCGCGGAACGCAAATATTGTTTATGAGACCTTGAGCAAATCCCTGTTCTCAGAGGAGACCTTTTTAAAAGACTTCCTTTCTCAGGATTTACTTCGGTACCATATATATATACATATGTATATGCTTAGTAGCCTATCCATTGCGCGAATGTCGGGCCCTGACATCCACCAGCTTTACACGTGACGCGCGTATCCTCCCGCTTTCCGTTACGGTGCTTTATCCTTTGTGTAGGATTTATATGCAAGATTCCCTCTCTCGAGAGAATCCTAGACCGTCTGTACGTTGTTTCGCCGGTGTCTCAAAGAGAGACAGTCAAAGTAGGAGCTAATTTGCGAGGAAGGATCTTGGAAGAAGATATATTTTTTCGTATCATCGTTCCTTGTCCCGTTCTGCGGTAATCCCGCGGCGTTTAACAAGCGACGCGCACCAGGATTTTCACAATGTCCCACCTAACACAAGCGGGAGAACGCGAACTTGCCGTTCATTATTCTGACGCGAGATGGCGAATTAATTTGCCAAGAGTGTTCGCCGGTGTTTCTGTAACTAAATATCTATTTTACAGACGTGCATTCATCTTTCTGTTACAAGCGCGAAGGATAGCAATTTACGCCGTTATTGTAAGAACGTTGAAAATAAATAAAATATGATAGAATAAAATAAATAAAATAACACGTACGAAAAATATTACTGAATTAAAATTTCATGTAGTAAAATGTACTTTCGAATAAAAATTGTTGAATTTAGATTACTTTTCAATGAAAATTGATGAGTTTAGATTGATGAACATCTCTGCGGAACAGTAAGCAATATTTCGGTCGATAACTGTCTGACTATAGCTGTCTTCTTCTACTTTCTTCAGTCGCGGTTCCGGACAAATATCATACATTATAGGCGGTGCCGTGAACACGATGATTTCTAGCGGTCATCGATCATCCACCGTCCTCCATTGATTCGTCGATGTTCTCGCATTTTGTATCCCGCCGTGAGGGGAAAGTGGGGGCGTTTATGACACGCGGTCTCTTCGACGGCCACACGAAATATGCCGGTACGACCCTCGTTCCTCAAAGCGTCGTCATCACATTAACATACAGAGTCCTCGAATGCGCGTAGACGCGTTTATCTCTCTTAACGGCTTCAGTTTCTTATTATAATTCACTCTCAACATAATTCTTATTATTATTCACAGGTATAAATATTCAGTATATTCAGCTATCAATACATATAATATTTCCTAATGTTTTCATAGACACTCTTAAATGATGAAAAATTATAGAAACATTTATATACATAACAAATGTATGTATACATGCATATAAAATAAGTGAATAGGTACATGCTTATTTTATTCAAATTTGTAATTAATTGAAAAATATAATTAAAATACGATTTTATTTAAACAATCAAGATTATACATTTATTCTTAAGTAAAAATTTTTTGAGGCTAAATCCTTGCGAAAGAAAACTTCAATTCTATCAAAAAATAAGTGATGCTATTACTCACTGGTTGAGTTTACACTGTACGTCTTATTCGTACTAAATTTGTATCAAATTCGTACTATATGTCGTTTACACCACCAGATTGAATTATTTAGCATTTGATACATATATCAGATGATCGGTGTAAACTCGGCCACAATGTATTTGAGAAATTTGGTTGCGCGTTTGACCTTGTTTATGTAGCGCGCTCAGATAGTTTACGCGCGCTCTTTATCGCAGTCAGTCGTGGTATCTAGCTAGCGAATGATTCACACGACGCACTGAGAAGACAGTGATTATATATGGTATGTTGCAATAAACACTTCTCTTATTGTTACGTAAAGCATTATTACGTATTTCTTTACAACTTTTCAATTAACAATTAATTAACAATGGGATTCAGATTGTGCTACCCGACACGATGTGTGCATTGTTTCAATTCTGTCGATGACGATTCACACGTCGAAATTGGTTAGCCGTCGTCAATTGAAGAGTGGAAAAAAGCTCAGATTTCCTGGTGCAGAATCTCACGGTGAGATCGGCCGCGTTTTACGCACACGCTATTCAAGCGAATCCTTACCCGCACGCTCTCGCTGTTAGATTAGCTTATGCAATCGACGGAACGGGGAGCCTTGAGAAACATGCTGAGATGGAGGAGGACGCGAGATGCAAATTATGGCCGGGAGGATGTAGTCTAATGGGAAAATGTTTTCTGTTGCAGGTAAGAAGGACTCTCGTTCTTGTCTCTTGCTCTCGCCACGTTGATTCCTCACGACGACGATCCGCCCGAAACTACGAGCGCAATCGAAGCGCACCGGTATCGTGTTTGACCCTTTACGACAAGATTTATGCTTGCGTCGCGTTTCACGTCCACTGCGTATGCTAGGAGTTGCAGTCTGCATCCAGAAAGATCTGCCAGGTATGTTTAAAAATATATTCTTAAAAAATATCGTTTGTCTTAAAGAATGAGACTACGATTGGCTGCAAATTGCAAAAGATATTATAAAATTGCTGACAATTGTCGTGCATTTACAAAAAATTTGAAGGGATTTTTATCAAAAAGATTATATAATTTATAAGAACATGGTATATTTTTTTAATATTTGGTTTATAAATTTTAATATGATTGTTGCAGAAACTTTAAATATGAACATTTCTGTATATTTAGAAAATTAGTATAACTTTGAAGAATTAAGTTTTAACTGGACTTCGAGAAATTTTGGATTTTACGGCAAAACTTATTCTTGCGGCGATTCTTGCCAATCGCTCTCAGTCTCGTAAACCCGATAAGGAGGATCATTAATTGCGAACATGCACATCGATTATGCGCAATGTTGACGTTAATGAGCGGCGTAACGTACGTTCGCGGGGGATTGTGACATCGATTACGGCGACCTTGCCCTAACGATACACATCGTCGCGCGCGAGCTCGGTTTCATTTTCTAGCAAACGGCACTTGTAATCTCACCCTTGTATCTATTACCGCAATCGGGTCACAATATATGGCCACAAACATTCGATGACTTCAGGATAGATTTACTTTGAGATTTATTGAAATTTTGATGCTTGCCTGATACTCATTCCGTATCAATATCGTATTGAAAAATTAGAAATATTAGAGACATATTGATTTTTTTATATATTTTTCTTAATTTAAGAAGATTACAATATATAATTATAGATTTATCCAATTGAATTTGAGAGAAAAACACTTTCGCATTATTAATTTCGCATTATTATTAACACTTTCATATTTTTTTCTTCAAATATTAACACTTATTCCAAGGAAGTCAAAATATCTGTGTCAAAAATATTTGATATCGGAAGCAGAGAACCGATACACGAGTATTATTTGAAATTGGTAGGCGGCACTATTTCTAAATCGGGATCAAAGGAGAAAGTGAGATAGAAAATTGATCGAGATCCACGTTGATTACTATTGAGTATCGACACAGAAAGTAACGTAACCGTAGCGTAACGGGGCCCCAGGTGGCGATAATTATGTCGTTTCCAAACTAGTCGCATGCCCACACCGCGACCGGAATGCCGCGCGACGCCTCTGGCGAATGAGGCCAGGATTTACTCTCGATTGCTATCTTCAGCTCTCTCTCTCTCTCTCTAGTCTAGTTCTCTTTGTTTAGCCGTATAAAGTTGCAAGGCTATGGCTGTGGCTAGCCGAATGGCAGTGTACGACTGCCTTTTCTGCCGTCTTTGTTTTTGTTACTCCGAAAATGGCTGTTGTCTGTCGTGTGCACCGTGGAAGGTAAGGACGCATTAGTGATGAGCTTCAAAGTCCTTCGATTGCGAGAAATCGAACGCGTGTTATTGATAAATAATGATTGACAGCTCGATCGTTGAATAAATTGATTGATTGAAATGATATAATCATATTACGTCATCGTAATAAAGTTCTATTTTTTTTCTGTAAATACATAGAAATTATTATTAATTTATTTTAAAATTTAATCTGTAAAGATTTATCTTTGTTCATAGATCTCGTACAATTGATAGTTTATAAATTGCGTTAATAACTTACTTGTTGCTCAGAAAACCTAACAGTCTATTAAAATATAACATAAGATCAGGAGATACGCCTTGCAAAATTATACGTACGCATGCGACATACCGATTAAAAGATAGTTCGATATGTGGGCAACGGCGTGGGAGTTGTGAAAAATAACATAGCGTATTGCGGCGCGGCCGCGTGTATGTGCATCGTCGCCGCGAAAAGTTTAATGGAAAACTCGAGAGATGCGTACGCGGATAGCGGCTTGTTTATTAAACTTTATGAGATTGCGCGCGTCCGTTTTTCGCAGCCGACTCGGAGAAGATGAAATGTGGCCGACGGCGAAACACATTTCGCACTGCGTCGTGTATATGTGTACGTATACATATGTACATTAAATCCGTTTTATAAAATTTAAAATTTGCGAGGAAAGTGATGGAATTCTATTGTTAATTTCTGTGATGAAATATTATGATGAATAAAATTTGTTTTATATCAATCGAAAATTTACAGGAATTATTGATTAAATACTTGAGTTTTCTAATGCGCCATTCTAATCGTTAAAAATAAAATTTTTGAATTATACAAAATCTAACAAAATAAAATAAAGAAAAAATTGATTCAAGTAATATAAGATACTTTTCTTGTATTTTACACGGTATAAAAAAGTGTTGAGTAGCGCATCATCGCAAATTGCAAATCGTGCGAAACAAACTTCACGCGTTGCAGCTAGTTGCATACACGCACGCAAGCGTGTGTATCCGCGGCCGATTGCATTATGTAACGAGATCCGTATACGCTCACCTGCTAGCTCGTGCTTTACGAGATGCGTTAGTCACGCATTATTCCTATTAACTGTGCACGACGACGTAACAACAATACCGCAACGCGTCGCATACCGCTGCAAGACGTTGCACAGCCCGGAGAATCGTTTATGCGAATGCGATTATATTATCATGAAAGATAAACGCAGGTTCGCGCGAGGTGAAACTATTCCCTCGCTTAATAGCGTCGCGGGATTCAATTTTCACGGGAGATCGATGGAAACCTTAATAACGTCGCTTGCTTTGGCATTCGTATTAATTATTCAATATGTTAATGCCGATGTTGTTCTTCGCAACGAACGGTACACACGATCGCAATCGATATGTTGCATGTAAGATGAGACGCGCGTTGTTAAAGACGCGATGGTGATTTATAATTGCAATTAAGGTGTTGCACCGCATATATTTGCTTAAATTTTAACAATATTTTGATTGGAATTAGTATTATTATAGATTTTAATATAAATTAACTTTTTTATTGCAGTAAAATATTATCATAGATATTTGACAGTATTTAGATGAGCTTAATATAAAATATAAACATAAATATATCACATTAAAAAAATTAAATTTAGCGAAATTTATCTATATATCTCTTATCGTCTCATATTAGTGATTTTTATAAAACTTGTTAAATTTCTTTTATGGTAAATAATTTTAAAACTGTTTTATTGATTCTGAAATTTCTTATTGCTTTTGACTTTCTCTTCGATCTTCTTAGTGCTAATAATATCCCATTAGCCAAGAATAGCGACAATATTCAATCATCGACAAATGTCATACGATTGTCATGTATCATTATGGAGATACCGCAGTTGTGAATCGAGTCGGTTTTGAATAGCGTATATCACGACGGATAACGACGTCAATGTCGACTTAAGCGAACACGAAGGACGACGCCCCGGTCAGGGTTGCGTGGCGTTATGTAGGAAACATGTTAATCCCTTACCTGTACGTAGCTATATATATACATATATAGCTGCGTTCATACATCTATATATATATATATATATATATATATATATGCGCGATCGTTCACAAGGTGGGCAATCGGTTCGAGTGCCAAGAAATGGCGAGTCGGGTGTTTTACCGCCTCGAAGGCGCGTAAATCTCTGGTAACAATGCGAGAGCGGAATATAACGAAGAGTCGAGGTCAAATCGAGTTCGCGAGCCAGTAAATATCTTAGTGCGCTATTAAGCTTCTCCTTTTTTTTCAATTTAAAATTAGATATATGATTAGTTGAGTTTTATCAAGATATTAGAAATTAAAGAAAATTAGTCAAAAAAAGAAACGCTTAAAGTTTTTTTTCGAAAATTTTATGCGACTGCTATTTCAGCGTACGGTAAACGTATTGCATGTTTTTTTTTTTAACGGTTATCCTTAGGCTTTCGACAGGATGATAATATAAAAACTAATTGCCGAGCAACGAGCAAGGAGGTGGTATTTTTCGTCGTGTATAAAGCTTAATTACGGACGCGGCGCGTAATGAGGGGTTTTGTCCCTTGGAGCGAAGTGCAGTATTCTCTCTTATGGGCTCCGAGTCGAGAATGAAAAAAAGGGGGAAAGATGAGTCTTGTTATCTTGATGGGAGGCCAATAAACGGATGGCAGCAGCGATACTTCGCATCCCGCACAGCACAATAAGCTGACAGCGGCTCTCGGAGCTCAAAGACGACCCCGGTCATTTTATACGGACTTTAATAAGAGACCTTTTCAACCTATTCGACGTTGCTTGCGCTGCGCGTAACCATCGTGAAGGTATTTTCCGCTTAGATCGTGGACTGAATTCGAACGGTGCTGCTAAACGATAAGCCATTCCGGTTTCGATTCGTAATCTGGTTTATTTCGCACGGTATATCTTTATCTTGCCTTATGCTTTGAATTAGTCCGATAGCTTATATGTATTAAGAAATTAATAACTTTTGAATTATTTGAACATTTCTTTTTATTTTGACATTTATTTAGAATATTTATTTCAAATTATTTTGTGTTATTACATCGAATAATGCAAAACGATAAAAATGATGCAAAATGCCATGATTGATGCAAGAACAAACAATTCCTACAATATTCTATCTTCAAATAATGAAATGACACTCTCTTATAATGAATTTATTTGTAATTATGATTAATGCATTATGTATCATATAAATATTTTTTGAACAAATACAATTTTAAAATTTAAATTGATATATTACATCGACAATTAATATGTATATTACACTCGGAGATTTTCACAGAAGTTATAATAATAAATTTATTTTATATAAAGCATAAAAAGTAATGAAAATAAATAAATATAAAAATATATTGAAAATTATGTAAAAATTAAATATTTGAAATAAAATTGTTGTATTAATTATCGATAGTTTTGTCTTTACAGAGAAGTCGATGATTATTTTACTAAAATCGTTTCAGTTTGCAAATTTAAAACAGAGCACATTAATAAAATTTATAATTATAATTATAATTTATAAAATTAAATAAATTAAATTTATAAAATTAAATGTTATTAAATTTATAAAATTGAATTTGTAAAATTATAAAATTTATATTTATAATTATAATTAATAAATTAAAAAATGTAATTTTGTTTTCTATAACATAGATCATCATATTCATAACTTTATAAAACAAATAATTATACGTTAGAGCTATATATGCCACTTTTCTTGTGTATATCTTATAGTAAATTATAATTGTCAAAACTGTCATTATTGCTGGTTGTGATGCTACTTGGATCATTTCCATTGTCAACTTCTGGATAAATCTGTGCAAATAATTATAATATTTACATGATAAATAATCATTTGGTTTTCAGTATGATCATTATATTCTATACTTTTATAAATTAAGCGCGATTTAGAAAAAGGTGAAAAATTATTTATATTTATAATGATGTTAACAATAATATCAATGAAACTTACTGCCTTTTTTTTATTCAGTTTAGTTGGTTTGCCAAATGATGTTCATCTTTAATATGGTGATTGAAATGAGTTGTAATAGCAATAGATATGTTTCTGTGTAACAAATATTATGCTCTACTTCATGCTTCTACTACTATGCTCCAAAATCATCTTTTTGTACATATTCCCATAGCCAACTCTGAAATGTATGTCTTTTTAATTGTTCCTTAGAATGCAAGCGTAAATAATCTTCTAAACTTTTAGATAAAAATAAAACGTTCTCATTACCAATAGTGCATTTCAGACCGATGGGTTGAATGATTTAAAATAATCTCTTGGTTACTCAGACATTGTGTCCGTTTCAAGTGATGAAACGCGTTCTGATGAACCAACTGTATCGTATGCTTCTTGCGTATTTTTCAATTTCTCCGGATGTGCCTGCTTTAGATGATAATTCAGCGTACTTTGCATAGAAAGAGATATATTATTATGACAAATATTACATTTCAACCACAAAATCATCTCCTGTCCAATATTTCCGTGTCCAACCTTGATATTTATCGTGATATATTTGTTTCTCTTGTTTTTCCATGCCAATTTAAGTGCTTTTCCACAGTATCCAATGTAGATAGAATATATTTATTACAAATAATACATTGTGAATATAATTCGTCTGAATACTTGAAATACATCCATGGCAATTTTGTAAATTCTTTTTTTTCTTCGTATTTCCAAATTTCTTTGTGTTGTGTTTTAATATGTCTTTTGAAGTGTGTATTTGCTATATAAGTATATTTAGTTTTACAAGACATGCACTTCGCTTTAAAATTCGGCAGTTTTATATAATATTTCCACAGATGCTTTCTAGATAGTGACATTGTGTCCGTTCGAAGTGATGAAACGCGTTCTGACGAACCAACTGTGTCGTATGCTTCTTGCGTATTTTTCAATGTGTTCGAATGTTTCGTTTTTATATGATTATCTAAATTTTTGTGAATAAAAAGAGATATATCTTTATGACAAATATTACATTCCACTTTATTATCATTTTTTTCTGTCCAAAATCTCCATGTCCAATCTGTTACATGTATATAATTCTTTTGTTCTTTTTTGGAATGCAAACTTAAATGATGTTTTACAGATTTAATTGTGGACGGAACATCTCTATTACAGATAATACATTGCGAATATAATTTGTTTAAATACTTGAAATACTTCCATCGTATTAGTTTCTTCTTTTCTTCGTCTTCCGAAATTTCTTTATGTATTTTTATATGGCTTTTGAAGTTTGTTGAGTTTTTGTAACAATATGTATTTCCGCATGACTTGCATTTTGCTTTGAAATCTGACACTTTTGTATAATATTCCCACACATTCTTGTTAGTTATAATTTTTAGAGACATTGTGTCCGTTCGAAGTGATGAAACGCGTTCTGACGAACCAACTGTGTCGTATGCTTCTTGCGTATTTTTCAATGTGTTCGAATGTTTCATTTTTATATGATAATCTAAACTGTTTTTAATGGGAAGAGATATATCTTTATGACAAATATTACATTCCACTATATTATTATTTTTTTCTGTCCGAAATCTCAATGTCCAATCTGTTCCATATATATTATTCTTTTGTTGTTCTTCAGGATGCAAACTTAAATGATGTTCTATAGATTCAGTTGTAGACGGAACATCTGTATTACAGATAACACATTGTGAAGAGTATTGGTTTAAATATTTGAAATACTTCCATCGTATTAGTTTCTTCTTTTCTTCGTCTTCCGAAATTTCTTTATGTATTTGTATATGTGTTTTGAAGTGTGACGAGTTTTTATAACGATATGTATTTCTGCAATACTTGCATTTCGCTTTGAAATCCGACACTTTTGTATAATATTCCCACACATTTTTGTATGTTATAATTGTTGGAGACATCGTGTCCGTTTGAAGTGACTGGACGAGTGTAACTAAATACAATACACAGTGATGGCAGAAGTATACGCTGCGGTTTCTACACACCAACAGAGAGAACCGTTTACATGTGATGAGCAGAGCGTTTCGGTCAAATCTAACTAACAATTATCAAAACACGCGGTAATATCTTATGCCAAGTATTATTGTCAGTAAAAGAGACGTTACAATGCATTCTTTACACGAATATATTTTGTGAGAAATAATGCACAATTAATATATTATACGTATTTGTATTTTTAATATGCATCAAGTAAAACTTCTGAAATTAGGAAGGCTATATTTAAAAAATCTATGTCTTTTTTTGAAGTTATTTATACTTTCCTAAATGCAGTTGATATACCGATTGCAGAAATAAATAGATATGATTGACTGATTGTATTAAAAATTATTATTATAATGCATTTATCCATCTGATTTATTTTGAAATATGGCATTATCAATGTCGATTTTTTTGTGCATGATGATTCTCTCAATGATATTATAATTTAACAAATTGGATTGACTTATCGGCACGATGCACAGCAGCGAAATTTCCAAGTTAATCTGTTACATACAAAATACTTTTAAACTATAGCAGCGTTTAAAATAATTCTCTCTTTGAAAGATAATTATTGCGTACATTTAACTTTTACTTTTTATTTTTGCTAATATCTAATGCGAGATTTATGTATTTATATCTATAAATAATTTAAATTTATAAATACTAAGAATTGCAAATATTTTACAGAATATGTGCATTACATTACATAATATTTTACGTGCAATATTTTTGTAAATAATAGATAACAAACAAATGATTAGTTATTCTAAAGTTGCTCCGCCGGCATCTAATGTTCTTCCTGAACTCCTCCTTTTTTTCTATTTTTTTTGCAAGTTCTTCAACACATTCGCACATGTGCGCGACGCGAATATGAAAATTGCACGATGTTTTAAACAGCACTTCCGACGCGTACTTTGTCACGTTAGGACAAAAGTAAAACTTGCATGGATTACACGTTCGACATTTTGCTGCATCCGTAACAAGTAACGATGAAAAGGGTGAGATCGAAAACTGCAGAAAATCATAAGAATGGCACTATTGAAGAGGATAACGTGTTAATACGAAACGATCTGAAGTGTGTCGTGCATGTAATAAGAGATAAACATTTTAAGAACAACTCGACTTTGTCTCTAATATGTTTATTGCATTCTTATTATTCGTACTATTCGTATTATTCGGTAGTGTCGTATAGTTCGGACTTGGTACGAAACAGATCATTCTGTATCGGCACGTTATCCTCTCCAAAAGTACTATCCTTATTATTTTTCGTAGTTTTCAATCTTACTCTTTTCGTCGTTACTTGTTACGGAAGAGGCAGAATATCGAACGTGCAATCCGTGCGACAATATTTCGTGCGAGTTTTACTTTTCTTCTATTATGAAAAAGTACACGTCGTGAGTGCCGTTTAAAACATTGTGCGATTTTCGCATTTGCGTTGCTAATGCGTGTGAGTGCCTTGAAAAACTGATAAGAACAGAAAGAAGGGGGAGATTCAGGAAGAACATTGGACACCGGTGGAGCAACTATAGAGTAAATATATATATAATCATTTATTTGTTATTTATTATTTATAAAATATTGCATATAAAATAT